TCCAGCTCTGCCTCAGAACAGACCAACTGCAGCTAAACTTGCCTCAAAAACTGCACAAACAAGTCATTAAAACTAAAACAGACACAGAGTGTGAGCGTGAGCGAGAGCGACAGACAGGAGGGGCTGTACCAACACGTTATGGTGTGGACACTTAAACCACGTCAGCCTCAGGAAAACAAGACAACTAGTTTGAGATATACTACTATAGTTTTTACATTTCTTGAAGATAACAGCAATGCTAGCTTTACCAGGCACCCCAAAATATTGAGATATTGTTTTCTTATGATCGTGTGAATGTGATAAGTTGGTCCAAAGCAGACTGATATTTATAATAGAAGTCTGTTGTTTAATCTCAGGCAGTCAGGCATGATAGATGTGAATAGCTTTCGATCACTAGAATGGGTTGTTGTCACGCGACAGGAAATGGTTCTTTTCTCTCAGATAAGTGAAGCTATTGCAACATGCCACAACACATGGCAAGCGAAAGAGAGCTGGCTGCCATGGCAACCGTCCCATAGATTCATAAGCACGGAAAGAGGCCTAAGTTTTGCTGTCATCAGACGTATTTAGGACACACACATATTGAAGTCTCTTACAAATGAGTTGTGTACTTTCACACTGGGAGTTTCTCTATAGGGCTGCTCAGTTTCTCTGCAGAAAGGCCCGACTGTATTTTCCTCTGGGGTTTGGCATAAGCAGCTGCAGAGAGAGTGATAAAACTGTTGCATACAAGGACACGCACACACACAACATGCCCATATTCACATATGCACTCGGGCACACACACAGTTTCCCCTGCATCTAAAGCATGCTGTCCTGCAGCATATTTCATCATTAAGTTTCAACACTTAATCCTCTGCTCCAGTGACTCCAGCTCTCTCACATCATTTCAATAATCTGCATCTGTGGTGAGCGTCCAAACAAACACACACATGCACAACTGCGAGCCAACCCACCAGTTTTGGGCACACGAAATAAGGATGGGGCACAGTGGTCAACCAGTTGACTAGTCATCCAACAACAGACAATTTTATATTTGATATATTTCTATATTTATAATAATTAATTAATTAATTAATATTATTATTACTATAATTATTATTATTTTAAACTATTTATCTATTCATTTATTTTAATTTTATATTTTTAGATGTCTGTCAGTTTTGAACATATGTAGAATGGCATGTCTAAAAAATTGTCTGTTCACCCATGCTCACGTGCATAAATCAGTAAAACAGAAAGACAGGTAGAATAAGCCAAAGGGGAGCATACAAGAGTCGTGTCTAAAGGATAATGTGACCTTTTCCCCACCACCATCTTCCATTCGTGGACAAATTGAAGCCTTTTCCACCAGCCATCACCAATCGATAACCGGCAATCTGAGCCGTCATCCTGAAACAACCCGTCTCCACTGTCTGAACAATTTTACAGTGTCTGAATCACGCCCTTTGAACTGCGCATCTCCTCAGTGGCGTCTCCAAGGGCCGAAGAATTCACTTCAGTGCACACCTCATGGCTAAATGCACAGAACCTCATCAGATAACGCACACACTTCGACCCATCTACACACAAGCACACACTTTCCCCTCAGTCCTTCACGCAGGGCGCTGTCAGCCAGACTTCCTGTGCCAGGTCTGCTTCAAGGTTAGCTGCTCATTGTATTGAGTGAGTGGCTGAGGTTCTGTCAGCGGCGAGTGGGCCTACTGGATGCATTATCACCTCGGCGGGGGAGCTTATCCAGCCCTCCTGGTCTCCGCCTGTGAAGCGGGCTGCCATGAATGCCTCACGCAAAAGGATTAGAAGTCTGTCAACTTCACCCCTGGCTCGACACAGATGCGCTGACCGCAGTTAATAGGTTTAATTTCACCCTTTTTGACATAGCTACCGGCCAAAGGAGAGGATTGAGGCCTTGGCCATATGGCCTATTTATTATATGTAAACACTCAAAGGCATCATGAGGGTTTTTTGAAAGGATAATGTAGATGCCAATGCGAAGAACTAAAGGGATTGGAGAGCTTTAAGCCAACGTATAAAATCAAATGTGGTGGCCATGTTACTGACTGAAGTCCTGCAAGTTATTAAGAATTGGGAAACAGCAATCATAACACAACATGATTTTTGGCAGAACAAAAACACATTGGCCAATTTCAACTTCCTGACTAAACTTTGTAGTACTAGTGCAACAAAATGAAGGACAAAGGATAAGCTTTATGTATATAAATTAAATAAAAAATACAAAATGCAAATTAATATTATAAAAGATTCATTTAAAAAAAATGTATATTATATAAATCTAAATAAATATAAAACATAAATTCCTTAATTTGCACTAAATACATATATATTTTTTTTAATTTAAAAAAGAGAGAGACATATGGGAGAGGGAGACAGACATAGATGGGTGGATGGATGGATTGGGGGATGAATGAAGAACAAGGGAGCAAGAGGGGACAAAGAGGTTCCAAAGTCCCAAAACCACATCTGGTCTGGGGGTCCGCCGCAGTGCCAGGGGTGCTGAACAACTGCTGCAGCAAACGCAGCAGTTCGTGTTTTCAGCTTTGTGATTTTAATGCAGACGGCCGTGTGTGTGTGCGCACGTCATAAAAATGTGTCTGTGATATTCTCCGGAGGGTTTAGAAGTTGTTTACTGCTTCTCTCTGGCGTTTGGCTACAGCTCTGTCTTTTAACGCAGTGAGACACAGAATATTCTGCCATTGCACCTCCTCTTGGAGTCAATCACACAGAGAACGCTAACTATAGTTGGAGAACCACGGCCATGCTGAATGCTGTAAGCTTTGGATTATCCCGTACAAATTTAAAATAAATACCTGGTGGGGATTCTGCTGTCGTGTTCCACCTAAGTAATCCTAATACCAACATTTACATTCAGAAAATACTGCATTAAATGAAAACAATCAACAATCACAGCAACACACACACAAAAGAGAAACATCACAGAACTTTCTTTTGTTGTTCTCCAATATGAAGTCTCAACAGGTCTACATTATCTAGTGTTTTTGTTGTTGTTTTTCAATGAGCTGTACTATTGAAACAAGCCACTTAAAGACCCCAATGAAGTTGACTGACTAGCAGTTTTCCTTTTCTAAGCATGTGCTGATGTATTTGCAATTACAACTTCCTTGAAAATCCCTTTTTCAATAGCAAATAAGCTTAATTTGCTACTTGCTAGTCAGTTGCAGGTGGTTTTAGAGGATGAAACATTTTTATTCTAGAGACTGGACAAAAATCCAGTGCAGGATGAAGGATCTGCCTTATTGCTCCAATTTCCCAGAATAAAAAGACGGTAAATTTATTTAAACTGCTTAATGGATTTAGTCAACATTTTAGAGTTCATTAGCATGCGAATGCCACAACTAACCAACATGCATCAAAAGCTACAAAACTCTAATTTTGATTTTATGGAGTCTTTTTTTCCGCCAAGTTCCCGTACGACTATCTCATAAATGATCAGAGTTGCTCCAGATAATATTTACTTTTCTTGATGAGCTTGTCTTCAGCTAGTAAACAATTTACTGAGTGTGACGTGCTGGCGGCCTATAAATCACCATGCAAAAGGAACGGTAATAATCTCATTTTCATTGATTAATGACTGCCAGTGTGGACTATTTTCTTGTTTTGTCTAAAAGGCAACAGTGACATCATCTGCTGTTTTCCCGCAGAGATCTGCAATCACCGAAATGGCAACTAAAAGGTTTCTGTGTGTGTATGCATGGCTATGTTTGTCCGTCTGCCTGAAAGAGAACGTCACTGTGTTGTCTGTCAGTTCCCTGGAGATTTGTTTGGCTGCACACTTTTGTTCATATCCTCAATTTGCTGTCCGTGTCATTTCATCAATTATAGTCTCAAGGATTTTTTTTATTTGAATGGCCCTCACAAAACATCCTTATTACCTAAAAGATATCACTGAGTTGTCTTGAAGCATAAGTGTCCCATCTTCAATTGCATTAGTCTCAACAGTATATTTTTGGATGGAGTTTGAAAAAGAGGCATGTCTAATTATGTGGCTAAAGGCCCATTCACACCAAGGACGATAACTATAAAGACAACTACAAAGTTTTAAAAATCATTCTAACTCTATGAGAATAGGGAAATCAACACCACTTATACATGCACCCATAATAAACAGAATATAATCATGAGTTGGTGTGGGCACTAATCTAGTTATGGCTTTAGTTATCTTTCTTGGTGTAAACAGGCTAGAAAGTTTCAGGAAAATGTTTACATCACCAAAATGGCTCCTCTCCTTCATTCTGCAGGGATGATTTTTTTGGGAAAGGACTTGTCTGTTATGCCATGGATTTTCATCCACAGCCAGATCCAACTACAAAACACACCACCACAATAACAAGAATGCGTCAAATTGGAATCCTGCCTTTTGGCAAAGATTTGCCCGTCTGTAACATCAACACCCTGGAGGTTTAGCACTTGAGAAAAAGAGAAATATGATATTGTCATTCTCTCTCTCCCTCAGACAGACAGTCTTTCCCTCCCTAGCTGTCGTGCTCTCTCTCTCAGTTTTAATGTTATTTTCTGCTCTGTGCAGTGTCTGGCTGGCCCTTGGATTCGTCTCAGACGTAGCTCCTCTGAGCCACAGTCAGAGAAGAAGGTACCGGGCCGAAAGCCCCTGCACCGCATCATCCAGTTACCCCCAACAGCCCCTGCCTGTGCAGGGATTCCCATGGCCCTCTCTGCCGGCACCGCTTACCAACCGTTCCTCTCTACATGCGTCAGATACAACAGCAGATGATTGCAGAGCATGACCACTGTTGCAAAACTCGCTGGATCCAACGTTCTTACAGAGCGGGATGCAGTGAAACATGATCAGATCTTCTCATTTGTCATAAAATGCCCAATGTCAGCAATTACTACACAAGATTTGATAGACCTATGAGGCTTTTTAGAAGTGCACAGCAACGACACAATCCTTGAATCAGTCAACTCGGTTTCTCACTCTCCTGCAAAAGAAACATGAGTCCTACCTTTTTCAGACGACCCCCTTTGGTCCCCACAAAAGCCAGAGAGTGGTTCTTGTACACGTAGGCGATAACTGATGTCATTTTGTCATTGGATTCGGAGAACAGTGGAATTCCACGCACCATCTCTGAGACGCCGAGTGGGGCGTTCATATCCAGACCACAGAAGTTGTCATCGATGGTGAGGAGCTAGAAAGGAGAGCAATAAATAATGTTTAATTCATCTAGAGCAGAGTAGATCTAAAACTAGTCAACTTATTGGTTATAAAATGACAAGTTGAGTCATTTCTAGTTTAAAGAAATGTGATGAACATTAGCAAGGATATGGAAATTGCTACAAATGTTATAGGCAAAGCTGTTTCCCTTTGACTAGTTTATGATGCAACATACATGTTTACCGGACCATTTGCAAGGCATTTCCACAGCAAATACATCATTGTCACTACTTAGCAACAATTCAGCCAGTCATATCTAAAATGGGGTTGTGAGGTTTATCGGATATAAGACCAAGTGCATTTATCATTTCAGGTGGAAAAGCATCTTAAAAACATCTTTTAAATATGGCATTTCAGGTGATGCCGTGCGACTTTATTTGACATGTAACATATGGCTGGGAAAGTTGCCAGTGTCAGCCAGAATGGAGTGATTTACAGCTTCTGATATTGAAATAATAATTTGGTAATGCTTCCATATTTCAGTCTGCTGCAAGGGCTTCGGAAACAACGGCATCCATTGAAACAGCTGCACAGACCTCAGGATAAAATGTCAAACAAATCGAAAGCATGATTAATGATGCCCAGGGCTTTGACTCATTGAGGGCATGAAACCATAACACTTCTCAAGCGCTGCCAAATATGATACGCTCACGGCCTTTAATTCATTCATGAGTGTCTCCTCAGGCTCTGATAAGGCCTGCTCAGAAAAAAAGTTTGAATGTTAATTTAAATTGATTTTTTTATATTATGCAAATTGATTAATTTTAAATCTTTATCTTTCAGAACAAAAGAAAAAATAAAACAAAATAAAATAAATTAATTTTACTTGAACACAAATTCCTTCTAATTGTTCACTAACAATTACTCAGCGCATGTTGTTCTAAAGAAAAAACTCCCAATATCTATCAAAAAGATATCAAAAAGAAAAATCGGCAATATTTTCTGTAAACACATTCCACAAAATTAATGGGAAAAAAGTAAAAAAAGACAGACCTTACACAGATTATGCATAATGCAACATGTGAGACCAAGTAAAAATCTTAAATGTTCTTTTATTCTGTAAAAGGTCAGAAAAATTCATCAGCAGTACACATAGATTTCATACATGGCATAATATTTTTGTCAAACCACAGGGGAGAAAAAAAAAAGATACTATAAAAACCTCCACTGTTTGTGTGTCATCTATAGTTGTTTGACATACATGATGTAGTAAGGCACTTTAAAAGGTCTAATTTCATTCTGAAAGCGTGAACCATAACTGCCCATTATTAAGCAGCCTAACAGGTGTCTCAAGCTGCTTTATTAGCATTAATATTTCAGTTTTTAATGGCATATACTCTCAACTGGATCATGAAATACAAGACAGCTTGAGCTGCGTTTTGCCTCCAGGCACCAACCCACAGCACAGTCCCCAGTGATGAAGTAGGCAAAGGGCAATCCTGAGTGATGCCCAGGTTGTGAGAGGAAGCATCTGGATGTACATTATCACTCACAGACTCTTTGTATGTCCATATATAATGTACATACTCCCTTGATGAGAGTTCAATTATATCTGTAGCGGAGCAGCAGACTGGATGAACCTCGGAGAGACGCGATCAATCAAGTGACCGGATGGGTCTTTACATGCAATATAGCAAATGTCTATTTGTCAGTGGTCAGGAGATACAAGACCCTTCATTAAGCAAATGGAAGACAGGGGCTGTCTCTCTAAAATGGCGGTTTATGAGTGATCGGCCGAATCGATAGCGAACACCGCACTCAATTCTCAGTTCACTCAATACAAGCCGGAATGAAGAATAAATAGAGAAATGAAGGAGAGAGTAGAGAGGGAGAGAGAACAGGGAAATGTTCAACATTGTATATGTTTTTTCCTCTCTCTCTTTCTCTCCGCAGATGTCTGACCTTTAGAAATGTTCTGCTGTCAGCCAAAGTCTGCGTGCTGCTTGGCTCGCCAATGCCAGCCCAGAGTAATGGTGCTCATTTCTAGTGCACGGCTCTTGTTAGAAAGCCACAGCTACATGAAAGATCTGTTTTCTGCAGTGTTAGTCTTTCTGCAGATGTCTCTTGTCCATATTGAGGGCCATGAATCATTGTGGGATGTTGAGGCAGCAGCAACCTGCTTCTATGTGCACACCTGCTTACACACGCAAATAAAAATAAAACTCGACCACAATCATGGCCTCCAGCACCCTTCATCCTGCTTACACGGGTCAAAATATGTAAAGCCCCAACGCAGCACACTGGTAGCAACAGCTACAAAGACTTGCCACCTTTGACGTTAAGACTGAAAAAGAAAACTGCGCTAAGAATAAACACAATGACAGTCATAGTTGTGACGTAGACTAATGCCTTTTGGCATTGCGGATATTTTATCAGAAAGCCCAGGCCTTCGCGTGGCAGGGCGCATATGCCTGTGACACACACTGGGGGAAGGGAGCATGTGTCTCGACGTCTTCTCATTGGCATATGCCACGATATTTCTGGCAAGGTGAACAACATGCCAATCAGACCCTATGTGTTGCAATCTAATGAAATAGGCTTCCTGTCTGTCAACCTTTCAGGAAGCGGACACGTTTTCATTACGTAGTCACATAAACATGACATTTCCTCTCTCCCCATCCCGACATGAATAACATCTCTCAACGCCCCATGAATGAGAGGGGGCGCCCTCCCTGCCACCCTCCTCTACTTCTTTGCATTCTCCATTTCTCCGCCTTTTATGCTTTCTTTCCGTCTACAACTGCCTCGCTCGCTCTCGGCACGGAGCGGACGAACAAGCTGCAGCATTATTGCCAATTTCACACTGCGCATCTGAAGGTGTACAGGAGAAGGAGGGGGGAAAGAAAGAAAGGAGGAGGGAATGGTTTGATGAGCGCAACAAAAAGCTTCTGGATCGGTGCAGGTGCCGTTTTTTTTTATTTGAACTGGTTTCAGAGAACGGGGAAGCAGAATCAGGTCATTCTGACCGCTCGCTGCCTGGCTACGTCCTGCAACACAAAGGCAGCTCTCTTTCCTTGCGCCGGCATCTCTGTGTCCCTGGATAGTAAGACACCAAGTGAAATCCAAGCTTTTTTTTTTTTGAGAAGCTTTTTTCCAAGTCTTTTTGTCCAACTGGAGCACACAGAAGACTAACCTTGAAGAGCATCTGGCACAAGAAGTCAAAGGAACCCTGGTTGCAGGTCTGGGGCACGAACTACACACTTTTTAGTTCAAAACGCCTTTTGTATTCCTCTCTGTTAGCTGAGAGAGCGCAAAACATTTTAATGCGCTATTAATAGATCGCAGTTTGATCAAAATGCACAGTTTATGCAAATAAACCCTGATCAGTGCTGCGAGTGTACATCATTCAGATTATGATTCGGCTCTTCAAGAGCTAATTCTGCACAGTCATATAATTACCCTTTCAGAGTCTTTCCTTTTCATGCTCAAGTAATATCTCACGCAGGGATTGTTGTTAGCAACAAAGACATTATTTCCCACAAATCTCAGCTCCATGTTCGACGTAATTATATCAACACTCAGTCAGCTCGGAGCACGGCAATCCTTGTGCTTGTACAATCCTGCGGCATTTAAGAGGTTGTTTTTTGTGTCCGTTATGCGTTTGATTGGGAGCATTCTCCACTCGCTCTGTCTTAATGGTTTCTATCAGGGTTGAATGATTGATAGACAATCATGCTGACTCTCCACAGAGATGAACCATTCAGGAGAACAGCATAATGGCACTATATTAGGGATGCACAAAACCTCATATTTTCACATTCGACTATTTGTTGGGTTGCCTGAACAACTACTTCACTCATCGGTTTTATAATTAGGCTGATTTCGGGTTCGTCTGACTCAACATGTTTCTTAAGACACATAGAGATGGCTTATTTTTAAAATCCAGGGGTGGCCAGCTCTGGCCTTCAAGGTCTACTTTGTTTCAGAGTTTAGCTCACCTGCCTGTAACTTTCTAGTAAACTTGAAGACCATGATTAGCTTGTTCAGGTGTTGTTGTTTTTTTAAGGGTTGGAGTTAAGCTCTGAAGGACAGTGGACTTTGAGGACCAGAGTTGCCCACCCCTGACAGAACACAAGAGGATGGAGCAGGGGTTGAGAGACATTTTAAAATTTGACTATTTTTAACTTGACAAGTAGGGAGGCATGATATATTGCTTTATACAGTATATAGATTTTTTTAAATTTATCGGTAGATATGGGATAATTAATTTCCGCATGCTCATTTCTCCTACTTTTACATTTAGATTGACACAATTTAATACTCACTTACTCTTCAAAAACAGTAATAGTAATAAATTTTTTTTTAAAAAGTTAAAGGTAATCTTTAGCAACTTTAGTACATTGCACTTTAGTACATTGTGTTTTATTAAAAATGCAAGAGATGTGAGATGAGAGAGGAGCCAAAACAAATGAATTTGATATTTGAAGTTGATCATTTTAACTTTTTTTTTTACATTATTTTTAATCATAAAAATGGTCTAACAGCTAAAGCATCAGCACTAAATATTTATTTATTGCTTTGGTACTTGATAAAAAAAATTAAATAAATAAATCATGGACTCTGAGGTGTTTTTTGGGCCCTGGAGATGTTTTGACATGTCCTGACATTTCTGCTTATTTCAGTTAATTATAAAATTTTAACAGCTAAAGTCTGATTACACTGTATTCAGCGTTATCACCCATCCCTACACTCCCATGCCATCCTTTTTCCACACCGCTCTTTTGAATTAAAGGCCTCATTATCTCTGTTTCCATCCTGCTGTGGCCTCTACCCAGTGCTGACTTTACCAGAGAACTCGGCTAAGAATAAATGAAAAGATGTGAGTGATGAATATCGCACAACTATCTGCAAGTAATGACACTTAATGACTTAATGACTGTGAACCCTTTCGGTAAGAAAGAGATTCTGCAAGCTTCCGCTTCCATAGCAAAGACCTCCATTTGAAAGCACTTTGTCGATATTATTTGATCCAAC